ATGCAGTATTGTAATAAGTCTTACTAAATCAGCAACTGTTAATAACCGTCACTGATGCAGCATTGCATTACGTATTGCCATTTTAGCAACTGTTAATAACCGTCACTGATGCAGCATTGTAATAAGTCTTACTAAATCAGCAACTGCTAATAACTGTCACTGATGCAGTATTGTAATAAGTCTTACTAAATCAGCAACTGTCAATAACCGTCACTGATGCAGCATTGCATTACGTATTGCCATTTTAGCAACTGTTAATAACCGTCACTGATGCAGCATTGTAATAAGTCTTACTAAATCAGCAACTGTTAATAACCGTCACTGATGCAGCATTGCATTACGTATTGCCATTTTAGCAACTGTTAATAACCGTCACTGATGCAGCATTGTAATAAGTCTTACTAAATCAGCAACTGTTAATAACCGTCACTGATGCAGCATTGCATTACGTATTGCTATTTTAGCAACTGCTAATAAGTGTCACTGATGTAGCATTGTAATAAGTCTTACTAAATCAGTAACTGCTAATAAGTGTCACTGATGCAGCATTGTATTACGTATTGCTATTTTAGCAACTGCTAATAAGTGTCACTGATGTAGCATTGTAATAAGTCTTACTAAATCAGTAACTGCTAATAAGTGTCACTGATGCAGCATTGTAATGAGTCTTACTAAATCAGTAACTGCTAATAAGTGTCACTGATGTAGCATTGTAATAAGTCTTACTAAATCAGCAACTGCTAATATGTGTCGCTGATGTAGCATTGTAATAAGTCTTACTAAATCAGTAACTGCTAATAAGTGTCGCTGATGCAGCATTGTAATTAGTCTTACTAAATCAGTAACTGCTAATAAGTGTCACTGATGTAGCATTGTAATAAGTCTTACTAAATCAGCAACTGCTAATAACCGTCACTGATGTAGCATTGTAATTAGTCTTACTAAATCAGCAACTGCTAATAACCGTCACTGATGTAGCATTGTAATGAGTCTTACTAAATCAGTAACTGCTAATAAGTGTCACTGATGTAGCATTGTAATGAGTCTTACTAAATCAGTAACTGCTAATAAGTGTCACTGATGTAGCATTGTAATGAGTCTTACTAAAT